ACGACCCTAACCTGGGTGTCCTTCTTGGTGAGCTCTGACAGCGGCTTCACACAAGTCCGTTTCTTTTCTTTTGATAATCCTTGCAAAAATAAGGAGCTCTTGGACCCAGGTTGCTGTTTCTTGCTCTTCCCCTGGGGCAGGACGGAGCAGGGGTGCCGCGCGCCCGCACTCCCCCCTGAGCCTTCTGCCTCCTTTCAGTGACGGAGGAGAAGCTGCGGTGCCTGGCGGAGCTGCAGCAGGCCGTGCTGCAGAGCGCGGTGAGGCACCCCGCGCCTGGCTCCCCTTCCCGCCAGGCGCTGCCTCCTGTGCCACACCAGAGTCTGAGCTCATCCCTGTGCTCCACTGCAGGGAGGCTGCTGCCACGTGGTGCACGTGGTGAGCTGCGATGAGGAGTTCCAGCAGCAGCAGATGGATCTGCTCTGGAGGATTTTGGATCCGGGGGCCCACACAGCGCTGCAGGTGAGGAACGTCCTGCCCGCCTTGTTGCAGCCTCCTGCCTGCCTTGTGCTGAGCCTGCTCTCCTGCAATCCCTGCAGTGAATCCGAGCTCCAGCCTTGCCTCCTTGTGAGCCTCCCTGCACTCTCGCCAGGCTGCGGAGCAGTTGGTCTCCCCCTTGGGATTTTATTGCTGCAGAGGGAAGGGCGGGAGTAGGTTGCAGAGACACCACTAGAACCATACTGTCCTTAATCAAATGTGCTAGTTTACATCAGCATCTCGGGATGGGGCTACACTTTTCCTGTGACACTCATTTCCATAGGTGTGAACAGGCTTCCCTGGCTGAGCTCTGGGCTCAGTTCTCCCTGCGCTGGATCTCAGTGCAGCTTCAGCTTCTAAGTGCTTGAGTCCAAGCCTGTTTTCTCCTTGGTCTTTCAGAAACTCCTCGTCTGTGGACCAGTGAAGGTGACAAAGCCCTTGTCCCCCATTGGAGCAGACGAGTACTTTCAGTAAGTTGGTATTTGGGAAGGAGCGGGCTTCCCTGCCAGGCTGCCTGGGTTTGGGTTTGGCCAAGCAGGCACCTAGGGAGCTCTCCAGAGCAGACACAGCTGGGAGGTGGTGGCCGTGACTCTCCATGTTCTTCCCAGGCTCCGGAGGCGCCAGATGCATGAGGCCTCTGTGATGAAGTACGGGGACCTCGCACAAGGTGAGGGTTGCTCTGTGGCTTTGTATGAACGTGCTGCTCTGTCCCCTTCCATGCTTCCCCCTCCTGCATTCCCCACCCAGGGGCTCATGGCTGTGGCCGACAGGTCTCTCCCATCTGCGGCGCTGGCTCTCCACGTTGGGAAGCAGCCGAGGTTCTGACCTTGCCTGGGAGGAGGGTGCCCAGACTGTCCCCCCGGTACCAGCGCAGAGCAGGGCCGTGGGAGAAGGGCTGGGAACGTGCGGTCGGTCCCTGCCTGTAGCCCACCCTCAGGGTCCTGCACACGGGTGTTGGGTGCGTGGGGTGCAGCACGCTGCACACGTGGCACCACTTGTGTTTTCTGCAGACGAGGCCTGGACTGAGGTGATTGACGTCCTGACAGCAGCTGCCATCAGGTTTGAGATGCTGAGCACTGCCCACCGGAGCCAGGTAAGCGAGGCCAAAGCCTCCTTGGCAGCTGCACGTCACCACACAGGCCAGGCAGGCAGGAGCAGAGGGACAAGCAGCAGGAGGGAGAGGGAAGGTGCCCTGGGAGCTGCCCAGGGGTGAGGGGCTTTCCCAGGGGATGAAGCAAGCTGGCGAAGGCTGCTGTTCCTGTGCCCGCAGCCAGCCCGGGTATCCTGCACACAGCTGCCCAGGATGGGCACGGGCTCCGCGCGCTGGGGGCTGCTCTGCCTGCTGGGGAAGGCTCCACTCCTGCAGTGGGAGGTGCAGGGCTGCATGAGGGACCGTGGGCTGCCTCTTCCCCCAGATCGTTCTGGACCTGGAGGACGGCAGCATCTCCACGAAGGGAACCAAGAGCGGCGCCTTCGTCATGTACAACTGTGCCCGGTTGGCCACGCTCTTCGACACCTACCAGCGGGCCGTGGAGCGAGGTGAGCCCAGCTCAATGGGCCCCTCCTGTGGCAGCGACTCTAGGGTTGCTCCTCACAGCTCTTTGGGGTCAAGGTTGTTCCCAGAGCCCCACGAGCTGCCCCCACAACCACCTTGGCAGCCAGTGCTGGAGGCAGGAGGCTGATGGCCATGACAGGGCTCTGGTACAGCCCACAAAGGAGCCTCTTGCCAGGGAGCCCCTAGAGCTCCCGGTGCTGCTCCGAGCTCGGCAGCAGCCTCTTGCCTCCTTTTCAGGCACATACCCACCCTTGCCGCCCCCGGAGGAGCTGAACTTCTCCTGCCTCCGGGAGGAGGTGAGTGCTGGGGGCTGGTGAGTGCAGGGAGCAGCGGGAGCTCTGCTGAGGTGCACGGACACTCCTGGCCTGGGGTGGGTCCGACCCTCCGGGCCACACCTGACTCCTTGGCAGGGCGAGTGGCTGGGGGGCTTCACAT